GGTGCTGCTAAAGGGGTTAAGAGGACCCAGAATGTTGGGGGAGCAACCAGCTATGTCAGACAGAGCAAGAGGCAACCAGAGTTCCAGAAACCTGCTCTACGAGAGAAAAGCATCCCTTGCCCACATTCTGAGACGTGGAGCAGAGGTGGAGGCAGTGTTATGGAGCCACAAGCAAGGAAGAGAAAAAGGAGTCCAGAATCTTCTTGAAAGGGCAGGGAGCCTGGCTCAGGGCCACAGGGGAAAGGCTAAGGGTTCCAGATCTTCATGGTGGCCTGTGACAAGTAGTACCTAGGATTCTCCCTTCTGTCCTTTCTTTTTCCTGCAAAACCAATGCAAAACCCTTCAATGAAGGGCTCTGGCTCCACTGACTAAGACACAGCGACTATGTTCTGCCCACGATGGCACTCAGGTAACAGGGAGCCTGAGAGAGAAACTGAGAGAGAGAGAGAGAGAGAGAGCAAGAAGAGCCCCTAGGATCTCTAAACAAAGGAGAACATGTAATCCTGGAGCCTCTCAGCATAAAGAAAGAACTATGTGAGATTCCCTGGTGCTCAATAGAGTCCAGCACCCGTGCTCAGAGACGGGCTCCTCCCACCTACCTCCTCACGACTGCACAGATCCAAGCGTCTGAAATGAGCCCAGGGCAGATTCCTAAAGTGGGGGGAGTCCAGCTGCCCACCCCATGCCACTTCTCACCTTTGCTGCCTGCTTCCACCTCTCAACCATCGCGAGGGTCACAGGAATAGAATCCCTTTTCTTCCCCTTCAGCCCTCCAGGGACTCCATCCTCATCTGCATCTTCCTCCTCCACACTTGCTTCCTGCACCAGATACAGAGGGCTGGGCTGGAGCAGGATGGAGAGACCCTAAGTGTGCCCTTGCCCCCAACCAACTCTGCCTAGGCCCTCACTTCCAGCGTGTCTGGCAGAGAGTGGAGCTGTTCTTCTTCATCCTCAGTGGTGTCTGAATCACTAAAGTTCAGCAGGCTCTGGTCGTTCTCCTGCAGGAACTTGTAGAACTCAGGGTCTTTGTCCTTCAGCCGCGAGAGCTGGTCCTTATGCTCAGATGCTCGACCTTTCCGCCGGCTGAGAAAGTGAGTGTCGTCAAGTACAACAGACAGGCATAGCTCACAAAGATGGGGGAAGTGGGGTGAGGCTTCCTGTCCTCCACACTTAAGCCTGCCAGGCTCCACAGAGAAGCTACGGGGCTTGATCTGCTTGCTCCACAACTATCAACAACCAAGGCAGGGGGATTTCCAGGGATAAGTTTTCAGCAAATCCCCCACTCTCCTAAACTCCAGACTTATATACTCAACAGTCTCTCTATATACGTTTCAACACCTGTGTCTTTTATTTTATTTTATTTATTTATTTATTTATTTACTTATTTATTTATTTATGAATGATAGTCACACATAGAGAGAGAGAGAGAGGCAGAGACATAGGCAGAGGGAGAAGCAGGCTCCATGCACCGGGAGCCCGACGTGGGATTCGATCCCGGGTCTCCAGGATCGCGCCCTGGGCCAAAGGCAGGCGCTAAACCGCTGCGCCACCCAGGGATCCCAACACCTGTGTTTCAAACCCATCACATCCAACACCAAACTTGTGGTTCTCCCAAACTTGCTCTGCCAGCACCCTGCTCCATCTCAGGTGCTGGTAATCTTGCCTTTCCAGGGACTCAAGGGAAGACAAGCTCTATCTTTCATACCCAGCATGCAAAGTGTCACGAGATCTCATCAGAAAAAAAAAAAAAATCCTTCAAATCCCCTCATGTTTCCTCTTAAACCAGCACCATCTCTCAAGTGTCCCAATTACCATAGTTTCTGTCTCCCTATCTCGGTACTGACCATCTCCAACCTATTCTCAAAACACCCCTTTGTGTTGTGTCATGTGACATCACTTCACAGGTCTAAACCCTGAGATAACTTCCCATTTTACCTGCACGTCTTACAGATGACCTGCGAGATCTGACTCCATCACCATCTCTCCAGGTTCCTCTTCTACTACTCTTCCTCCCACTACTCAGACACACACTTCTGTGCAGACCTGCCCCCACCTCAGGAGCTTGGCCGTTCCTTTTTTTTTTTTTTTTTGCATAATTGGAGTATTTTTATTTTATGTACAATGTTTCGGCATCAAAGTAGGTATCTTGGACATCTGCAGTTAAGGTAGGCATCTTGGATGACCCATTCAAGGAAGTCCACTTAATCCAACTTAATGAAGCCTATATCCTTGGCGTACTGACGGAAACACTGGCGGCACATGTTGAGGCTGTATTTCCGGATCAGACCGTGCCGGTCTGAACAGATGCCAAGAACAAGAGCCCTGGCCAAACTTCCTCGGGTGGCTACAGTAGAGCTGCTGGTGACCCATCTTGCTCTTTCGGATGCAACGAGGCAAAAGCAGCTTGGCCGTTCCTGATCCGTGAAACACCAAAGCTTTCTTCCCCTGTCTGTGTGGCTTCCAAAACCCCTCAAGCTTCTGTTCAGTGAGCATCTCCTCCAAGGGCCGCCTCCACCAAACACAACAGGCGCCCCCAACGTGCTCCCTACTCACCTAACCCCTCGTGTCATTCTTCGCTGTTTGCCACACTTATCTCTTGTAACGTACGATACCTATGATTCACCCAGACTACCTGAGCTCTTCCAAACATTGCTATTCATTAACACATGCTCACCACCTAAAATAAGGTTTGTCGGGCGCCCGGGGAGGCTCAGTTAAGTCTCCGACTCTTGCCTTCGACTCAGGTGGTGCTCTCGGGGTAGATAGAGGGCTCGGCGCTCTCAAGCGGGGAGTCGGCCTGAGAGTCTCTTCCTCTCCCTCCGCGCCACCCCCCCCGCCCCCGCCCCCGCGGTCTCTCAATTTTTAAAAAAAGTAACAAAAAACGCTCGTCCGCGAACAAGACCTCAGCAAACGCTGAAGAGGGAATGAAAAAGCTCCAGGGTCTGGGGGAGGGGGTCGGAGGTCAACATTCATGCGATAGGGTGGGCCAGGAGAAGGGCTTGCTTTACAGACGTGCCACGGGAGCCGCTCCTCTCACCTGGACCAGGGGCTCCCGCCCAGCCCATCCAGGCTCCGGTCGGCTGCACACGCGGCCCGCGTCTCTACTTCTGGGGCTCCTTCGGGCTCCGACTCAGACTCAGAATCAAAGCCCGAAGCCAAGAACTCGTCCACCGTCAGCTCTGCCAGGCGCCTGCAGGTTACAATGCCGGTGTCAGGACTCCCCGCCATCCCGGTTTGCCCCAGCCTTGCTGCCCCAGGAACACGGAGACGCTCAATCGGAGCCTCTTTGGATATAAGCACCCACCGGAAGGCCGAATTGGTCCTCATACCCCCAGCTTACCGCTTTCTACCCCGCGCCGCCGCCATTACTGCCAGCCCGCAGCGTGGGCCCCACTTCCGGACCCAGAATGCTGTGCGTTAGCCGCACTTCCTCCGGGCCGGCCCCGCCCCCGGTCCCGCCCCACCGCGCCCCACTGGTGGCTCTAAGTTTCTCCAATCGTGGCTCGGGCGGCATCCAGGCGGGAGGGCACATTCACAACCCTGTGCCCTGGGCTCCCAGAATGGCAGGCCGGACGCGGGCTAACTGCGCAGGCCTAGTGCAGTCCCGGCTCCCGCACACATCAATGAGTGCCGAGCTGTAGATCTCGAATATCGGGCAGGACTGCATAGGATGGAATCCTGACCTGCTGCTCACAAATCTGTGTCCTTCCCGGTAAGAGGCGGGAAGATGAGGCCCAGGACCTGGGCACCCTCTCCTTGCCCACAGCCTCCCCAGAGCTCCAAAGCACGTGCCTGTGAGGGGGTCAGTGCATTGACAACCGACAAGGTGCATCCAGGTGAAAACATTTGACAGGACTTCTATGCAAAGAGCTCTTACAAATCAATAAGAAAGAGCCAATAAGGGGAGCCCCCGTGGTCCAGCGGTTTAGCACCGCCTTCGGCCAGGGGTGTGATCCTGGAGACCTGGGATCGTTTCCCACGTCCGGGTCCCTGCATGGAGCCTGCTTCTCCCTCTGCCTGTGTCTCTGCCTCTCCGTGTGTGTGTGTGTGTCTGTCATGAATAAACACATAAAATCTTAAAAGAAAGAAAGAAAGAAAGAGCCAACAACCCAGCAGGAAAAGCAGTCTAGTAGAATAGGCAATGCCATAGGTGGGCAGTGTGCCAAAAGAGAGAGAGAGAGAGAGAGACTCTGATGGCCAGGCCGGTCTCATGTGAATGGAATGAGGAGAGTCATTTCTACTTCACTGGACAGTCCACACCAAGGGGTGGGGGTGGGAGGGAGGGCAGTGAACAGATCACAGAGCTGTTATTTATTGTTTTGGGTTTTTTTTAAAGATTTTATTTGTTTATTCATGAGAGACACAGCGAGGGAGAAGCAGGCTCCACGCAGGAAGCCCGACGTGGGACTGGATCCCGGGTCTCCAGGATCAGGCCCTGGGCCACCCGGGCTGTCCCTAGAGCTGTTATTGAAGCCCATTTGGCCAAACCTTCCTGAAAGTACTGCTCCTGATAGAGTCCATGGAGTCCTCTGCTGGCAATTTGCCCAAGCCCACAGCGTGGGGCTGGGCAGGAACTGCTACTTTTCCTTTGCCCAGTCTGTGGGAAGGACGGGTTCCAAGGCCCAGAGGCTGGAAGGTTGTGTTGCTAGGAGAAAGGAGGCAGGAAAGCCAGCTGATGCACTCCTTCCCTGCCCCCACCACCTAAGGGCAAGGGTTGGTGGGTCTGGACCCCCTGACCCCACAGCCGTCCTGGGAGCAGGCGCAGCTCCTGGCAGGTCCCCCAGGCTACCTCCACCCACGCCACTCTGTCCCCCGCAGACTGTGTCCAGTTCAAGGCCTGGTACTTGCAGGGGTCGGTGGAGCGAACCAGTAAAGGCCAGATGGGCCGAGTGGTCCGCCTGGGGTCACAAAAGGCAAGCAGGATGTGGGCCAGGGCTGCCTCGGGTCCCCGGGGCAGCAGGGCCTTCCAAGCTGCGGGCCCAGGGTGCTTACGAGGGCAGGGCTTCTTCTTAAATGAATTGGCGGGGATGGACGGTCCCGGGGTCTTCCTGGAGGAGACGGCCGGGGTGCCCGGTCATTATTGACTGGGGGAGGTTCAGTCCTCGAAGACTCGCGGAGCGCGGGCGGCGGGGCGGGCGGCGCCGAGAAACAGCGGCTGCGGGCAGGCGGCGGGAGCGAGGGACGCGGAGCCGGCCGCCACCGCCTAGCAGCCCTCCAGCAGTCCGTGCGTCCGTTCGCCAGTGCGTTCTCCGCGGGTCGCGGCGGGTCCGGCAGCCGAGCCCATGCAGCCGCGCAGCGAGCGCCCGGCGGGCAGGACGCAAAGCCCGGAGCACGGCAGCCCGGGCCCCGGGCCGGAGGCGCCGCCGCCACCGCCGCCGCCGCAGCCGCCAGCGTGAGTGGGCCGAGGGGCTGGGGGGCCGGAAGCCAGAGCAGGGGCCGAGTGGGTCCGGGAAGGACACCGGGAGGGGGTGCACCGAGCCTGGCTGGCTGCCCGGAGGAGGCAGCCTCGGCCGCCCCGCGGAGGGTACGACTACCCCTGTGTATTGCGCGCACGGTGGCGTGGGACCGGGCGTCCAGAGGTGGCCGCTTCCCGGAGCCTCTGTCCTCTCCCGCCGCCCTTGAATTCCGGCCGCGCCGCTTAGACTTAGGCAGCTCGCCTGCAGGATGGGGGCAAGCCGCTCCAGAGGGTCAAGTGAGGTCAGGCCTGCTGGGGGGCACAGGGGTCTCAGAGCTGTCCTACACCTGGCACGCGTCCTTCGCGCCCAGCCCGTGCTGAGGACACTGACTCTGTTGGGTAACGGGAAGGGTGACCAGTGACAGATGGACAAGAGTCACAGGCACAGAAGTCCCGTTCTTATGGGGGCACCTGGGCAGAGGGGTGTGTGGTGCCAGGAGAGGTCCTGGCAGAGGAAGCTGGATGTGTTCAGCCTTGGCATCAGGTGTGTGACTGGACCCCATGCAAGGAGCAGGGGTGGAGCGGTTTTGCTGGACTCCAAGGAAGGCTCCCTTGTATGAGGGACAAGAGTTAGGGGGAGGGGGTGGCGGTTGGTCCTTGATGGAACCCAGGTATGGGCTGCGGGAGAGAGGGGTGGCCTTCTAAGGTGCTCCAGCCCTGCCTTAGGTGTTAGGGGTGGGTGAGCAGCTCCCTGCAGAGCGCACCCTGACCTGGCACTGCCCGTCCGCAGCCCGGAGGCAGAGCGTGCACGTCCTCGGCAGGCCCGGCCCACAGCCCCAATGGAGGGTGCAATGCAGCTGCTGAGCCGTGAGGGCCACACTGTGTCCCACAATTCCAAACGGCACTACCATGATGCCTTCGTGGCCATGAGCCGCATGCGGCAGCGTGGCCTCCTGTGTGACATCGTCCTGCACGTGGCAGCCAAGGAGATCCGAGCACACAAGGTGGTGCTGGCTTCTTGCAGCCCCTACTTCCACGCCATGTTCACAAGCAAGTACCGCCACATCCAGTCTGGGCACACGGGGGGCTCCGCCGATCTCCTAGGGCAGGGACCGGCCTGACCTGCTGTCCCCACAGATGAGATGAGTGAAAGCCGCCAGACGCATGTGACTCTGCACGACATCGACCCTCAGGCCTTGGACCAGCTGGTGCAGTTTGCGTACACTGCTGAGATTGTGGTGGGCGAAGGAAACGTGCAGGTGAGGCTGCCTCATTGCACATCGCACACCTTTGCCCAGCCCAGCACCTCAGCTCCCAGTGTCCCCTCGATTCTTCACGTCCCGTTTCCCTGTCCCTGCTCCTGTGGCGCTCTCTCTCCTCTCACCCCACAGACTCTGCTCCCAGCGGCCAGTCTCCTGCAGCTGAATGGTGTCCGTGACGCCTGCTGCAAGTTCCTGCTGAGTCAGCTCGACCCCTCCAACTGTCTGGGCATCCGGGGCTTTGCTGACACGCACTCATGCAGCGACCTGCTCAAGGCAGCACACAGGTATGTGCTGCAGCACTTCGTGGATGTGGCCAAGACTGAGGAATTCATGCTGTTGCCACTAAAGCAGGTAACATGCCAGCTGGGGCATGGCCTTCACCCTGGACCCCAGACCCAGCCCTTGAACTCCTTTCATTTTAACTCTAAAGACCTGGCCATTTGCCCCCCAACCCTTATTTCTAGCCTCATTACACATCCCCTGCCCTCCCCAACCCCCACACCCCTGCCTCATCCCCTTTTCCTGACTTACCTAAGCCCTCAGCTTTTGACTTTGATCCTATCCTGACCACATCCCTGCCTACAATCTCCAGTCCCTGGTTCTACATCCCCAAGAACTGAATCTGTAGCTCCTGACCCCACTTGGCCCCTTCTCATAGGAACACTGGGCTCCCCATTGGACTCTCCCTCCTGGGCACCTTCAGGGCTCCATGGGCCCCCAAGAGCCTCCCCAGATCTCAGATCTGAGGGTCCCCACCCCCAGGTGCTGGAACTGGTCTCTAGCGACAGCCTGAACGTGCCTTCAGAGGAAGATGTCTACCGTGCCGTCCTGAGCTGGGTCAAACATGACGTGGATGCTCGGAGGCAGCATGTCCCGAGGGTGAGGCTAGTACCTAGGGAGGCCTGCTGTGCTTAGGAGGGGATACACAGTAGCTGAGGGGTGCACCTGGGCTCAGTCCAGAGACCCCCTCCCAGGAGTGATGCAGACACGTGTTTCAAGAAGGGTCCAGGGTGTCTGAGGGGGATCGCCTCACTGGAGCCTGCTGCCTGACCATGGCACCCCTGCACCCCAGCTGATGAAGTGTGTGCGCCTGCCCCTGCTGAGCCGGGACTTCCTGCTGGGCCACGTGGATGCGGAGAGCCTGGTGAGGCACCATCCTGACTGCAAGGACCTGCTTATTGAGGCCCTCAAGTTCCACCTGCTACCAGAGCAGAGGGGCGTTCTGGGCACCAGCCGTACACGGCCCCGGCGCTGTGAGGGAGCTGGCCCAGTGCTCTTTGCTGTGGGTATGTTCACCTGTTATGTTGTCTCATGTCTGGGCCCCCCAACATGGCCTCCCTCTCCCCTCCCATCCCTGGCCTGAGCCACACCTGAGGCTACATCACACTTTGCTGGTCATACTCTGTACCCACGCCACACCTGTTCCTCTGTTGGCCCATGGAGGACCCCGTGTGGTGTGACCCACTAACCAGACCCCATTTCTGCCCACCCTTGGAGCCTATAATCACTCTTGACCTTAAGCTGTGCTAGAGACCCACAGCCATTGCCTCTCTGGGTCCTTTGTCCTGCCCCGTCACCTCCCTGTTCCTAGGTGGTGGGAGCCTATTCGCCATCCATGGGGACTGTGAAGCCTACGACACACGCACTGACCGCTGGCACGTGGTGGCCTCCATGTCCACACGCCGGGCCCGAGTGGGTGTGGCAGCAGTTGGGAACCGGCTGTATGCTGTGGGTGGGTAAGTGTGGAGGCTGGTTTTGGGTCAGGGGCTTAGCATGTGCCCACTGGACCAGTCCTGACCGGCAGCGGACCCCTCCCCTAGTTACGATGGGACTTCAGACCTGGCCACCGTAGAGTCGTACGACCCTGTGACCAACACCTGGCAGCCCGAGGTGTCCATGGGCACGAGGCGCAGCTGCCTGGGTGTGGCTGCCCTGCACGGGCTCCTGTATGCAGCTGGTGGCTACGATGGGGCCTCCTGCCTCAACAGGTAGTGGCCGGGGTCAGGGCCGGGTGGCCTCTTGGGGTTGGTTCGGCTGCAGGTGTGGCTACATCAGGACTGCAGAGATCATGCCTGAGGGGAGTGAAGAGGGATCCCACCTGACTCAAGTCACCAGGGCGCCCTGGGCTTCTTCATGTGCACCAGCCCAGCTGCCCCTTCATTTCCTCTCAAGGTCTTTCCACCAGCCCAGGGGCTGGGGACCATGTGGACACTTGCCCAGGATCATGCAGGCAGCCAGCTAGTGGCCTGTGTCTCCACCCAGAGGGTCTGCTTCTTGCTCCAGTGGGATTCTGGGGTCAGTCTCTGTGACTGCCCAGCTCGGGATTTTAATCATTCCATGGGGGAGGGCAGGTCCTGGGACCAGGGCAGCCTTTCTGCCACTGCTCAAGGTCAGCAGCAGGCCTGGTATCCACAGTGCTGAGCGCTACGACCCTCTGACGGGAACATGGACATCCATCGCTGCCATGAGCACCCGGAGGCGATATGTACGTGTGGCCATGCTTGGTAGGTGACAGGCCTGCTTTGTGTAATGTCTACCCTACTCCCACCTGCCCCCACCCTGGGGGACCCTGCATGTAGCCGGCATACCACGGGCATGTTGACTCTCCACAGATGGGAACCTATATGCTGTGGGTGGTTATGACAGCTCATCACACCTGGCAACTGTGGAGAAGTATGAGCCCCAGGTATGAAACACCCCAATCACATGAATTTCCCTTCCTAAGAGCTGCTTGAGGTCATCACCCTAGTCACCCACACTACCCAGAGGATCAGCCCTGTACGTCCCACCCCTGTCCCACAGATAGCCTATTCTGGAGTAGGGATCTTCCCCGCAGAGGAGGAGGGAGGTTGCTGATGGGTCTGCCCCCAGCTTATCCCCTTCACTGCAGGTAAACGCATGGACCCCCGTGGCCTCCATGTTGAGCCGACGAAGCTCAGCAGGGGTGGCGGTGCTGGAGGGGGCCCTCTACGTGGCCGGCGGCAATGATGGCACCAGCTGCCTCAATTCTGTGGAAAGATACAGCCCTAAGGCCGGTGCCTGGGAGAGCGTGGCACCCATGAACATCCGAAGGTGCGCCCCTGTCACTACCACCCACCAAGGACTGAAATAAAGGTCTTAAGGCCTCAGGCCTGGCTTGCGTGGTTTGCCCTTGCTTCGCATCCTCACCGCCCGCATCCGCACCGCCTGCCGCAGGTCTCCACCCAGCCCCTGGAGCTCTTCTTGTAGTCTCCGCCCCCAGAGCTCACTCCCCCGCCCCGCCCTCCCCAGGAGGCTCCGCCCAAGGCCCCCATGGCTCGCCCCCACCCCGGAGGCTTTTCTTAGAGTCCCGCCCCCACCGCTCGCCCCGCCTCGCCCCCAGGAGGCTCCTCCCACAGCACCACCCCTATGGCTCACTCCCCCCTCCTGCCCCAGGAGGCTCCTTCCGCGGCCCTGACCCCACGGCTCACCTCCTCCACCCCCAGGAGTACACACGACTTGGTGGCCATGGACGGCTGGCTGTATGCCGTGGGAGGCAACGACGGCAGCTCTAGCCTCAACTCCATCGAGAAGTACAACCCAAGGACCAACAAGTGGGTGGCCGCGTCCTGCATGTTCACGCGGCGCAGCAGCGTGGGCGTGGCCGTGCTCGAGCTGCTCAACTTCCCACCGCCCTCCTCGCCCACGCTGTCCGTGTCGTCCACCAGCCTCTGACCCGCGGCGCGGACTGCACTGAGGCCCGGCCCCCCGGCCTCCCACATGCCTTAAGCCCCACAGGGCGGGCCCCAGCGCCTTGTGTGTCGGGGGCAGGATGCTCGGCCCCCCCACCAGGAAAGTCTTGCCCTGTCTGTCCTTGTCTCTCTGCGTCGAGGCTGTCCATGTCTGTGTTCGTTTCTCAGTGTTTGTTTACGTGTGTGCCATTTATTTACTTACTGGTTTATTTATTTATTATTTATTGGTCGATGAGCAGTGCAGCACCTACTAGTTTACATGTTTCCCCTTGAAGTGTCCTGTGTCTCTGGGACCAAGCTGCCTTTCCAGGTGTCCTCCTGTCCCCCTGGGGGCATCAAGAAGCAATGGGTTTGGACACTTGAATCTCGCATGGGTCAGGGGTGAACTCCAACTCTGTAGACCTGGAGGGACTGAGGGGACAGGTGCAGAGCAGCAGGCCAGGGTTAGTGGGGTGGGGGTTTTCTGAGCAGGTGCAGACCCTTCTAGCCTGGGCTTAGCATAGCACCCCTACCTTGCCCAGCCAGGCACGCTCCCAAGAAGGGCATGAAGCAAGCTTCCTTCTTGTGGGCATGGTGTCTCTTCTGGATCCTGCACTGAGCTGAGCACAAGCGTGCCACAGATCCCATACAGCAATATGAGCCAACTTGAACAATAAACATGTTTCTTGGGCTCTGTGGGCTTGAGGCTGAGTGTACATCTCCACCCTTTGGGGTCTTGTCTGCGGTGACCAGGAGGGCCTGGAAACAAGTGTGCAGCTGGGCTGAGGCTCTGCTTTGGTATCTGGGGGCTTTGAGGCAGCATCATCATGTCCGGGTGGGTCAGGGCTGTGATGTTGTGGACGAGCACCCAGCCAGGAATGTGATTTGCTGTTACCCTGGTCCTGAGAGGCCCTCGTGGTCCCATGTCATTCCGGGCTCTGGAGAGCAGGGTATGTGCACAGTCTATCCCTGCTTCACCATGATGGTTCTGAGTGCACCCGGGACATTTGTGGCCTCCTTGGACTTTGGCCTGGGGTGAGGTTTGGGCTGAAGCTGGAGATGTTAGGGGAGGGTCCTGGCTTCCCCTTCCCCAAAGTTGCAAACTTCTATTTCAGCAGCTGAGAGCAAGCACACACCTCCTTACAGTCAGTGGTGACTCAGACTGTGGCATTTAGGTGGAAACAGGATGTGTGTCCTCCGTGGGGAGGGGTGGTATTAGGGGGAGGGATCCCTGGGCTCATGGAGCTCCGGCCCCAGGCAACTCCAGCCTGAGTACAGGCAGGCTAACTACTTCCAAACCTGGACTTTGAGGCTCCTCCCACACAGATTGGAGACTGAGATGGGTGCTGTTGGCTGGACCAGGGGAGATTTCCCCCTAACGCCGCACCCTGACTCCAGGCTGGCCTGCATGTGTGCAGGACCCAGGTCTGAACTGAAAGGCTTGGGCCCAGGTAAGGGCCAGGTCCCTCCCAGGAAGGCTCCACCCCCATCCAGCCCTTAGGGAAAGGGCAGGACTTCTAAAGCTCCGCCTGGGAGGCAGGACTGGAGGCTCAGTACAGAGGGACCCAGACCCGTCGACCTGCTCCACTTGGGCCCGCTGCCACCGCCACCCATGGGAAACAGCCACTGCGTCCCTCAGGCCCCTAGGAGGCTCCGGGCCTCCTTCTCCAGAAAGCCCTCGCTGAAGGGAAATAGGTGAGGGGAGGGCGGGGCACAGCCTCCGTCACTAGGTCACGGGACGTCCTTTGGTCTGCCTTGGGGGCCAGGCTGTGAGCCCCCCCTTCCCTTGTCCCCAGAGAGGATGGCGCAAGGAAGCTGGCTGGCCTGTTTGGCATCGAGGCCGGTCCTGACCAGGACGCCACTGCTGACAAGATCTTCTACTACATCCCTGGGACGGTGAGCAGGCGGGTGGGCGTGTCCCAGCTCACAGGGGTGCGGTGGTGGTGGTCTCTGTGTGATTGTGTGTACCTGTCCTATCTTCACCCAGCCTGGCTGGGGGGAATCCAATCCAGAATGAAGTGAGGAAGTAGACACTGCCCCGCCCTGGGGAGCTCATCTGGCCGAAAGTCTGAGCAGAGAGCGAAACTGAGACACACTGAGTCAGTGGGGTGAGGAGCACCCAGCAGGGGCGGGCCACAGGCGGGGCCTGCAGGAGCCCTGTGCTACGCTGGAGGGGGCACCATGGCCAGGCTTTCCACTCATAGCCGTACCCGGGTGTCTGCCTGCATGTCCAGGCACATTCGAGATGGACCAAGCACTTATATCCGTGTTGCTGTGTGGGCATGGCTGTTGTGTTGATAGTGTGGCTGTGAACCTCTACCTGCTGCCATCACTCAGTAAGGAGCTTCAGGTGAACAGTGAGCCAGACTCTCACCCACTCCAGGCCTTGGTTTGTCCCCCCGGGGTGTCGGCCTCCACCACTGCCTCATTCCACAAGAGCCCACTGTCTCCCCCTCCCCCCGCCCCCTACAAAAGCCACACAGCAAGGACATGGCTCCCACATGCTAGGCCACCTCTGAGCTGAATGCTGCTTCCTCTCACCCTGCCCAGCTCCTGAGAGGCTGAGGGTCAGCTAAGAGGGGAGGGACACCCATCCCTTTTCCCTAACCTGGAGAGCACTGGGTTAGGGTGAGGTTCTGCTATGTGCAGAAGCCCTAGAATGTGAGGGAAATGATATACCAATATCTAACCCCAAGCCAGAGAAGGAGGAACATTTGTCACTGGGCCAGGGCTCCCACCCTGCACTCTCATCCTCACACTGTTTCTTTGAGGCCAAGCAGCCTGCAGAGCCCACCTTTCCAACTTGTTTCCATCAGGCTGGGAAGCCCAGGCTTGACTCCTTTCCTGCCCACTGAGGTCCCAGGGCTCCCTGCAGGCAAGGGCTGGCTTGAGGAAGTATGCTGCCTCAGAGAAGTAGACAGGGCACTTCTGTCCAGGGTCTGGCTGGGCTGCAGTGGGATCCCTCCATGTGACTGCATCTCAGACCCCAACTCTCTCTGTCCAAGCCCAGGACACATCGTGTAAACCGGGTAGAATCACGTGAGATGTGGCCCTGGTGGTCCTCTCTGGCACAAACATAGTAGCAAAAGAGGGGACCAGGCACGTTGGAAGCTGGGAGGTGGGGCTGGGGGAGAAGCCACTTCTTAGGCCCTGCCCTGTGGTGGGTTCTGCGTATACAAATGAACTAGAATTGCCAAGGCTCCTACCTGCCTCCTCCCTGGGCCCTAAGGCTGAGCCTGGGCCACAGGGACAGCCTCATGGCCCTTCCTGCTCCATGGCCTATTTTTCGTGGGTCTCATCCCTGACTTGTTTGCCACACTGGGTGTGGGTACAGGAGGCCCCACCCAGAGACAGGAAGGTCTCACATTCCTGGGCTTGCCCAAGGGGCAGCTTAGCTTGGCCAGGGCTCAATAGCCCTCAAAGCAGCCCCTGCCAGCACCCAAATGGAGCATGGCCCCTCCCCAACTCACCCCTGAGCCCCTAGACCTCAGCTCTTCCAGCTAGGGTGTCAGGTCATCACCCATCCCCGTCTGACTTCCCGTCTGATGATCGAGTCCCTGATTAGAGAGGATCTTTTGAGTGCCAGGATTGGCTACATGTTTGTAGGCACCAATAGTCCCTCCCCTCAGCAGGCAAGCATCGAACCCCCAGCGCATCCCAGACCCAGCCTACCTCTGGGGGTACGCCAGTGGGCAAGATAGACAAAGGCCCTGTTCTCTTGGTGTTCCCATCTCCATGACAGAACCAGGTGATAAGTAAAAGATATGAGAAGCCAGATGTGGCAAGTCTTGAGAAAGATAAAGGAGGAAAGAGGTATGCAGAGGGGTCAGGAAGGCTGGAATGTTAGGTTACTCAGACAGGTCCTCATGGAGAAGGTGGGTTGTGAGCAGTGTCCTGATGGGTGAGAAGAGAGTTAGGCTGAGTGGTCTGGTCAGAGGGAATAGCCAGTACAAAGGTCCCAAGGCACCTATGGCTGATATGAGAAAATGAGTAGGGAAGGGGCAGATCCGAGAGGACCCCTGGGGCCATTGCCGGGACTTTGGCCTTCTCCATGGGTGAGATGAGGGGCCTGCTGCTGTGTGCTGATGCAGTCAGCACAGGTGCTCGAGAGCTGATGTCCTGGTAGCTTTAAATGGGTACTGGTGGGAGTGTTTACATGGAAATTGCCCCCCACCCCCAGAGACCCAGGTGTTAAACACTTATAGCCAACCTGAGAGGCATGGGAGAGTTTGGAGCATCGTCTCCCTCAGACACCCCTCAGACACCCCTCAGACATCCTCTGACCCACAAGTCTTGGGAGGCTGAGTAATCAAAAAGAAGGTATTACAAGTTAGGAAATATCAAAAATAAGAGTTGAATGTCCGTTGAGTTCAGGCTTCACCATCTCTGCTCTAGACTGTGCAGTTTTATGACTAACAGACAGTGAGCTCACACGTATAGGCTGCCACTATCTCCACGTTAGAGGCTCGGAGCGTGTATGAGGGTGCCGTAGCTACGAATGATGCTGTGTGTATGTTCCTAACCTTTGGGTCATAGAACTGTGGCTATATGTATGGGTGGGGCAGCCGGCCCAGCTCAGGCCCCCTCCCCTGAGCTCTGCTCCCCACAGGACATCCGGGGCCTGGAGAGCCAGCGAGAAAACCTGGAACAGCCATTCCTGAGTGTGTTCAAGAAGGGGCGGCGGAGGGTACCTGTGAGGAATCTGGGCAAGGTTATACACTATGCCAAGGTCCAGCTACGATTCCAACATAGCCAGGTGGGGCCAGGCTGGGCCAAGTGGGGGGTGCTTGGGTACCAGCCTGGGGCCAGCCCCCCACCCCCCAGCCCCTCAGACAGGCAACCCTACTCTCCCCCAGGATGTCAGCGACTGCTACCTGGAGTTGTTCCCCTCCTACCTCTACTTCCAGGCCCATGGTTCCAAAGGACTCACCTTCCAGGTGAGGGGAAATAGGCAAAAGGAGGAGGCTAGGGGTAGAGGGAGAGAGCAGCCTCCTCTGAGGTGGGTATCCAAGTCCCACTAGGGGTCCCCCAGCCCTCCCCTCCCCGCATATGCTCTGGCAGGGGCTGTTACCACTGATGGAGCTGAGTGTCTGCCCGCTTGAGGGGTCCAGAGAGCATGCCTTCCAGATCACAGGTGTGTGGGGGGCGTGAGGGCTGCTCAGTGACCTTGGACTCTGGCTGGGCTTCAGAACACTGGAGGGACCCTGCATGCACTGAGGGATCCAGGCTTTTCCTCCAGTGGGTGCATGAGCATTTACCAAGCTGGGTGGGGTGCAGGGCAGCGGGCAGGAGACCTCCAGAGCTGTGAATGTGGCCCTGTTAGTGGCTGTTGGTCCTGGCCCCGGGGTACGCACAGAGCCCTTGGGTGGGGCCTTTCCTGTGGGCTGCTGGCCCCAGCCCACTCCACCCCTCTACCCCCAGGCCCGCTGCCTGCTCCCCTTCACGTGCTCTGCCCCAGCCAGACTGAGCTAGGCCACTGGCTGTTCCACCTGGAAAAGCAGATAGCCCTCGTGGGAGGGTTGCAGCGCTGCCACTTGGCACCCCCTCAGGTCAGTGCTGGGAACCCCCATGCCCTTTTCCTATCTCCCCTGTGCCAACACCCTCTGCCTGCCCCTGATCCCCCTTCCCCAGGGTGCCCCTGAGGATGAGCTGCCTTGGACTCTGCAGCACAGTCTGACCCAGCTGCGGATGGAATCAGGGCATCAAATGGTGGGCAGTGCCATCTGTGCTTCGAGGGTCAAGCTGCAGCATCTGCCCTCACAGGTGCGTGGCCAGGTGGGAGTGGGGCAGTACCCAGGGGTGGGAGGAGATGGGGGCACAGGGTAGGTGGGAAGAAGACATGGGGGAGGGCACAGAAAATGGGGAGGAGTTTAGGAAGCAAGTAGGGTCAGGCCCTCACACACACTGGTTGAGGCCCCATTCTGCCCTTTGACCTCTTCACAGGAGCAATGGGACCGGTTCCTGGTCCTGTACCCAACATCTCTGGCTATCTTTTCCGAAGAAGCAGATGGCCTTTGCTTTAAGGTGGGTCCCTCCCCACTGTGGACCCACCCCAGGGAGACACCCTGTGTGTGGGGGTGGGAGAGGGCAGTGGCTCAGGAGGAACCTGTATTTCGGGGCCTGTTGGGACAGAGTTTGCTGGCCCCACCCCCCCACCCCCAGCCTGCTGTCCTGGTCAGTCTTGTCTCAGCTGTGATGTGGCCAAGGAGGGGTCTGTGCTTCAGCACCCATTATCATCCTAAAGGGTCCACCACCACCAGCAGGACTATCATGTGGGGAGGTGGCATGGGGGCAGAACCACTCCTGGGAGGTACTCTTGTGCTGGGCCCCAGTATCCCTGAGAGGGGCCTATACTTTTGAGTGGACATTTTCCTGGTGCCTGAGGGGTGTGTGCATGCACGGGCATGTGTGTGTGTGTGTGTGTGTGTGTGTGTGTGTGTGTGTGCATGTATGTGTACGAGAGTCCTCTGGGGCTGGAGTGAAGCCTCCACTAGTGCTTGCCATTGGCTGATGAAGGCCCCACCCAGAGTCCAGGGGTAAAGGGATCCCTCAGGACAGACAGGGAGCCCTGGCCTCCCTCGGGGATGTCAGCCTTAGCCCTGCCTTGCCCTCTGCCTGCCATCCGAGGGCCCAGCCCAGCTCTGGAGGGTGAGACAGAAGTATGGGCCCAGGCTAAGGCTCCATCTTTCATCACTGCCTGGCACAGGGGGAACTCCCACTCAGCGCCATCCACATCAACCTGGAAGAGAAGGAGAAGCAGATCCGCTCTTTCCTGATTGAAGGTGGGCAGAGGCCCAGCCTGGGAGGGAGGGCATGAGCCAGCTCTTCAGTGAGGCCGTGCAGGGAGCTTTCTGTTTGCCAGGCCCCTCACAGCGTCTGTGTCCTAGGCCGCTTCATCAACACTATCCGAGTGGTGTGCGCCAGCTACGAGGACTACAGCCACTGGCTGCTCTGCCTGCAGACTGTCTCCCACAGGGATGGAGTCCCCCTACTGCTGGGCCCTGAGCGCTTCCCGGGGCTGCGGGTGTCTACAAAGGTGAGGCATCAGCAAGGGGAGAGGCTGCCCCCATATCTCACATCCTGGGCAGAAGGGTAAGCCCTGCTCTCTGATGTCTCACCTCCCTGCTCCCTGCCCCCTGCTGTCCAGGCCATGGGTGGCGGCCGGGGCTCACTCTCCTCAGATGGACGAACCAGCTGGGACTCGGGGTGCCCAGCACCCCCCTCCACCCACACCAGCCACTCTCTCCCTGAGTCCTCAGTGACATCCACAGCAGGCTGCCCTGCCCAGCTAATACCAGTGAGTACCTGGGGGTGGGGAGGAATCAGCAGAAGGAAAGGGTAGGGGGTCACGAGGACAGTTTGTGTTAGGGAAACTGGGTCCCATGGCACTCTATCGCAAGCAGAACCTGGAGGGAACTTTGTGCAGCCTCAGAGCATTGAGTGGGCCAGGGCCCTAGGGAAGCTTCTGGAAGGAAGGTCTTTGGTCCCCGCAGGACCAGGCCAACCCTGGCTGCACCGGCATCAGCAGGCAGAGGGCAGAGCTGAGACGGAGCAGCAGCAGCCGGTCACCCAGGAGCAAGGCCCGGGGTGAGGGACGCAGCCTGGCCACTTCATTGTACTTGGACCTGAACAAGGTGGGCCCAGCACGCTGACCCAGTTCTCCCTCCAGCCCCCACCCGGGCCTCCATCTCTCAGGCCCAGGTGGTCCTGGAGCCACCTAGAGGCCTTCCTGCATAGAGAAGGGAGGACTCAGGCCACCTCCAGCTCCAGGAAACTTGTCTCTTGTGTCTCTTGCCTGCAGCTGAGCAAGCAGAGCCTAGAGGACCACTCTGAGGCCCCAGACGACCCTATGAGGACCCCACACTCCCCACTCTATGCTGATCCCTACACACCACCTGCTAACTCCCAGCACAAGATCACAGACGTCCAGGGCCTGGATGAGGTCAGTTCCCTGTGGGTGACAGAAAGGGCTGGATGTTTCCACAGCCTGAAGTCTGCTCAGGTCAGGATTCTGGGGGCAAGGGTCCTTCAGCTCCATGGAGGTTCCGGTTCAGGACCTCAGGTCAGCACCCATTTCCTGGCAGTTCCTCAGCGCAGTGCAGAGCTCACTAGGACCTGAGTCCTCGAGCCCATTCCCCTCCATCTCTGTGTCCGTGCCCGTCTCCGACTCCAGCTCCGGACCCTCCGCTCCCCACTTGCTCTCCAAGAAGGGAGCCCCACAGCCTAGAGCCTCCCAGAGGCACCGAGGCTCCGTCAAGGGCCGGAGGCCACCACACCTGGGCTCCCCTCAGCATGTGAGTAGCCGCCTCCGCCCCTGCCGGGCAAGATGTTCTGTGGGTGGGTGGGTGGGGGTGGAAATAGTGTTGGGCCTCAGTGATCCTGGGGGAGCAGGAGAGATGCAAACAGGAAGACAGGGCCAGCCGAGACCAAGGACAGGAGGCAGTGCAGGGGTGGGGATGGAGGCAGGAATGGACAATGTACAACCAGGAGGAAAATGTAGGGCTGGGATCTGCCAGATTCATGGGCAGGTCTTCAAGTCTCCTCCCCCAGGGCTCAACTCTCAGACTCATGGTTGGGGTTCTCAGGTCTCCCCTCAGAGGGACGTCTCACCCAACCCCCCGCTGCCTCCCTCAGGTGAGTGAGGGCCCTTGCCTCTTTCTGAGGGGAGCTCTGGGTGCTGCTTCCTTGAAGACACATGCATCTCTGTCCTCCCCACCAGGTGGCCATCCCCCCACAAGCTATGACAACATCTTGGACAAAGCTTCATCTCTCTCCCACCAGCGGTGGCCCCGAGGAGAACCTGAGGCTGGAGGGGGGCTCATCCAGTGGATCTGATGGCCTCTGGGCAGCTGGTTCTCAGAACCACCTGCCAGCATGGATCCTGGAGTGGGGGTCTAGAGCAGAGCACAGAGCCTGGCTCTTTCTTTGTAGGGCCACAGGCTGGCCGGCATCCAACACCTGACTGCCATTCAATGCTGAGTCAGTGTCTGATCCCAGCAGGGTGAAGGGGTCTCCAGAACTATGAATTTCCCTGGGCTCTGGAGAGGCCAGGAGGACAGCCTCATACTGAAGATGGCCTGGCGACAGGGCTGTACCCACATCAGACCAGACTTCCACCTTTCCTCCAGGGAAGGACTGAAGGAGGCCACTAGATGCTGGCTTTACCTGGCGGGGGGAGAACGGTGCAGGTGTGAAGGTCAGAGGGCTGAACAGTCAGGTTAGTGAGGGTCAGAGAGCACAAGGGCAGGTGGTCAGCAAAGCCTGAGACATGACCGAGACAGAAGGGTATTCAGGGTGAATGTCGGTGGGCTGAGTCTGGTTGGAGAAACTGACAAGAGACTGAACAAGAAAGAAAGAGAAGATTTTATTTGTGCTGTGTGTCCATGCATTTTCCTCTCAGCAGTCAGGCGTCCCCCATCCTGGGGGCCCTGTATGCATGCTCACCCGGCACCCAGCCTGGTGGCCTCCAACTGCTCTGCTACCACCATCCTCCCACCCACCTTCTTGCCCCATCTCCTCAAAGCCCTGGGACAATCCCAAATGTCCAATCCCTTTATCTGATACCACCATATTTCCGTCTCTGCACCTCATCCGGGATTCCCCAGAGGAGGGGCTCCAGCTTCTGCCCTATAGACCCCCACCCTGCAGGGGCCACTGGGGCCACCCTACCTGTTCACTGTCTTAGGCAGGAGCCAAGGAGGCCTTAGAGGCTTTTACTACCCCAGCCCACTTGTCAACAGGGCAGAGAGTCCCTGGGACACCCCCCTCCAAGCCCGAAGGCCATTCAGTCTCCTCACTCTTGTCCCCTGCCCAGATTTCCAGCTGGCCTTGCTGCTTCTCTGATACCTTCTAGTTCCAACGCCCTATCCTGCCTCTGCCCCCTAACTAAATGACCCAATAAAATTTAGGGCACCCAGTTAAGTTTGATTTCAGATAAACCACACATAATTTAGTACAAATACATCTCAAGTACTGCGTGTTTGAAATTCTAGTTTCATTGGCACCCTATGTTCTTATTAGCTAATCTGGACACTTTACTGACCAGCTCCTTGCTTAGCACCTACCCACCCAGCCTTTGGGAATCTCCTTCCTTCCACGTGTGGAGCATAGCCTTCACCTTAGCCTCTGGCTAGAACTTTGGGTGGAATCCAAGGGAGCAGGACCAAGGACACTGGCTCCTTCCTAGATGCCATAGAACACAGGGGGCAAAGGGCAAGACCTGAGGGCAGCATCTCGTCCTCAGCACCTGTGGCCATTTCTTTGTCTTGTGTTTTCCTGAATGGAGCCTACTATGTTCTAAGAGCTGGGGCTGGGGCTGGGGCTGCGGCTGTGGCTGCGGCTGCGGCTGCGGCTGCGGCGAACCTGCCCCACCTGCCGGCGGAAGTAGTGGATAGCAGAGATGGTACCGATGTTGGCCAACAAGACTGCAAGAGAAACACAAAGCCTTGTAAGTGCCAGCTCCATTCTGGCCTGGTCACCACCCTCCACCTGCATATGGCCTGGCCCTCAAAGGGTGAGAGCAGGCCAGCCAGGTGAAGAGTGGGTCAGCAATGAGAGGAGCAGGGTCAGAGGGAGATCTGCCTCTTCATGCACCCCTCATCCCTGCTGGCCCAGCAGGTGAGGCTGGAACTGGTCCCCCTGGGCACCAGCCCGCTCCTCCCTCAAGGCCCCCAAACCTGTTTTCCAGGCATCTGGGGTGTGGAGATCTGATGTTCTCACAGCCCAGGTAGCAAAGGCTACAAACACCAAGCACATGTCATTCTGGCTGAAGGTGAATGAGGTGAGAAGATCTCGGGGTTCCCCTAGGAGAGAAAAGCATGCTCTGTGCTCTGGCCGCTCCACTCAGACCCCTGTATCCTAGACAGGCTGTCTAAGTCACATCTTCCCTAGGACACCTCCATCCCAAGACACAGAATAGCGTGTGGCAGGGTTGGGTCAAGCTGACTTGAGCGAGTTGCCTCTGGGGATTCTTTTCCTGGTTTGTAAAATATCTTCCAGGGGGACTGTGCCTGACCTGGCCAGCAGCAAGGCCTGAGTGGAAGCTGTTCCTGTGTCTACCACGCTAGAGGCTAGAGACCAGGGCTCTGCTTTCATCTGGGCCTGAACACAGAATGATGGTCCATGTGGGCACAAATCCTTGAGTGGCTGCAGTGTCTGGCCTAGTCTGCCCGACGTAGGCTAGTCCATCCTTCCCAGATCATCCCCAAGCCCCCTTCCCCGGCTCGTGACTCAGGGTCCTAGCCTGCCTCTCCCCAACGGCCCTCCTGGCTGAACTCCCTGGACAGTATGTTCCCAGGCCCTGGACAGCCCATGGGGCCCACGCGACACGCACCTGCTTGCTTGACTGCCAGACTGAGCTGCTCTGCTGTGGCTGGGCTGGGCTCTGGTAGGGTGCCAGGCCCCACTCCCCAGGGGACCAAGCTGGCATGCTCGGTGGCCGGCCGCTGGAGAAAGGCAGCCAGCTCCAGCAGGCCCCCTGAAGAGTCCTCTCCAAGGAAGTGTTCATAGGCCTCGGGGATGGAGATGGGCACAGGGTCTCCAGGGGGAGGGGCAGGCACAGGCTCCGCTGGTGGGGGCTGGGCCACAGAGTGGCTCCCCCGGGGCCCGGACCTCTGGGCTCGGCAGTCCTGGAAGAAGAACTCACACGTGTCTGGCCACTGTACTTCAGCCAAGGCCTGGCCAGCTTCTGCCTCCTCCTCAGCCTGTTCATCCTCCTCCTCAATAGTGTCACAGAACAAGAACTCATAGGCTTCCGGGAGGGTCACTGCAAAGCTGCTCCTGGGCCTGGGCCCCACTGAAGCAGAGGGCGAAGGCGGAGGCAGGTGTTTGAGGATCCGAGGCTGCGGAGACCGGGGCCCCACAGCCATGGCGTCCCAGGCTCCAGGCCCCCCTCGGGCCCCCACTGTGGTCCTGGGGGATGAGGGCTGGGCTGTGGCTGGTGAAGGTGGTGAGGTGTCCCCTGAACCTGGCTCCTCAGGACTGGGCACAGCCATGGAAAATCGCACTTTCTTCTTCTTGGGTGCTTGGACAGGGCCTAGTGGGGGCTCCCCTGAGTGATGTCCAGGGGTACCTGCTGAAGCCTCCTCCTCTCTGGGCTTCTCTTGGGGTCCTCCTGGAGACACAACAGGGCTCAAACACAACTTGGCCACTGGGGCAACCTCCACCTTCACCTCATCTGGCCCAGCCTGGGGAATGGGAGTGGGTGTAGACACACCCACATCAGGCTGGGCCTTAGAAACAAGGTGAGGCGAAGCAAGTGTAGATGAATCCACCTCCAGCTTAACCACTGGGCCTAGCATAGGCAGATCCATGTCCAGTCTAGATTTGGAGATAGGTGTAGACAGAGGCATGTCAGGTTGAAGCTTGGAGGCATGTGTAGACAGAGCCACATCTGACTTAGCCATTGAGATATCTGCATGAGTCTCCTGGGGAGGTGTGGACATGGTATGTAGCTTAGCTGTAGAGGTCATTCTGAGTAGGTCTGTACCTTGTTCGGTCGTAGGGACAGGTGTAGACAGATCCAGATCTGTTCCTTGCCTGGTCACCTGTGCAGGGGCTCCTGCAGAGTCTGGACCCAGTTCATCCTGCCCGGTTCCTGCTGTCTGCTCTGCTGTCTCAGCCGAGAGACCCTTCCGCCTGGACCCAGCCAGGCCAAGATCCTCCTTGGGCTTGACATCAGCAAGCAGCAGGGAACCCAGCTGGGTGCGAGCAGAGTCTGGGGTGCTCAAGCACCTGCCTCCCTTGGCTCCAGCAGAGCGCCTCTTCTTTCGGCTCGGGCTGCATGGTAGGGCTCCTGGGCTACCCGGGGGCCTCTGGGGAGCAGTGCTGCAGCCGGGAGACTCAGAGCTCTGAGGAGGCTCGCCAGAGGGACTAGGGGCAAGGCCCTGGGAGGCCGGCCCCTGCAGAAGCTTCTGCATCTTGTCTCTGGAAGACACTGGCCCTAGAAGGGACGAGCTCTGGCCTGGAGGGGCGGCGTCAGATCCGAGGGACAGCAAAGCTTCTGACAGTGTGGACGTGCTGGGCATCTGCTGATCGGCCCCCAGGGCCAAGCCAGGTTCATGCCAAGACCTGCTGACCAGTGGCCGGGTGGCTGCCTTGTCCTCCTTCTTGAAGCTGGGCCAGCCCCTCCCCTGAGAGCCCGGCTGTCCTTCGAGAAGGGGTGGAGGCCCAAGGGGACTGCTGCCACTCCTGTCCCCTTGGTCAATGTCACTGGACAAGAGTTCATCCCCAGATGCCAAGCTGGCCTGGAGGAGGCCACACTCCTCAGCTGTGGCTGAAAACTCAGCCCAATCCTGGTCACTCAGCTGAATGCTGTACTGGAAGTTTTCCATCTCAGATCAGCAGAGCACCAGGCCAGGCGGGGTCTTCGTGGGTGCAGGTTCCAGGCACCAACCAGCATACACTCGTGGGGGGCCCCCACCTCCTTGGCTTAGGGCCCAGCACTCCATCTGCGTTCTGAAGGAAAGCAAAACAGGGAATCCTGAGGGAAGCTGAGCTGCTCCCAAGCTGAGCCTCCTCCAGACTAGAAACCTGCAGTTCCCACGGTCCATACTCACCCCCGGGATAACCTTGTGATGATGTATCATTACATTCCAGAATCACAGAGGGCTTAGATTAGTGAAGTACACTAAGAACATAGGATTCCTTGTGGGTGAATTTTTGTCTAAAGAAGTGGTCTTTGAGCATTTTCTATCCCACTGGATCAGCTCCGCTTCTTTAAACTTTCTCGGGAGTTGCAGGGACCAAAGTAAACTTCACACAGCAAAGCCCACTTCAAGGGTCACTCACTGGGAGTCTCAGCACTGGTCACTCACCTGAATGATGGTCAGCCCTGGTCTGTCCCAGGATGCCTCAGGTGGCAGCTGGCCATGGAGGAGGGGCTACAGTGTCCATCAGGTGACCAGTCTCTGGTGATGACCTTCCACCAGCCTTCGCTGGGACAGGCTTCTGGGCATCCACTGAAATCATCAAGGTCACACTAGTGCTGGCCAGAGCCCACCCAGGGTCATCAGGGAGCGCCCGGTTCTGCCCCCTGCCTAGCCAAGAGGTCTCAGAACAGAAACGAGCCTCCTAAGTCCCAGTGGACCACTAGGGCCATCCTCAAAGCCTGTGCCCCTGACCTAGACCTGCCCAGTTGGCAGAGCTCCCTCCTTCTGCCTCAGCTCAGGGAACAAAGGTGACCCTAACTTCTGGAGAGCCCCTAATGTCTCAGCCTCCTACAGGAAGTGCTCTTTGGCCTTTGGTCAGTTACCACCACACCCAGGGAGGTGGGAGGTCCCTCTGGCCAGGCCAGTGTTGAGATGAAGATGCCTTGAGACCAGAGCACTGTGGCTTCCTGACCTCTGAAATTTGCCCTCCTTGCCGGCCCTTGGGGAAGCCCCTCTGGGGCTGTCTGACTTTAGGACTTCTTAGGGTGGGGGGATGAGAAACCAACGGTGTCATACCTGGGCCCCTGTGGCCAGCCAGGGCTGTGGAGCTGGGCGTCTGAGCTGCCTGTCCCAGAGCAGCGTGGTGCTGGGCTCACCACACAGGCCCCACCCCCACTATCAAAAATACTCCATCCCTGAGGTCACATGTCTCCTGCCAGTCCTCAGGGTCCAGGCCACAAATAGATGGCATTTGAGGCGCTTCCAGCTCTGTGAGGGACGCCTTCCTAGTCAGGTCAGATACCGGCCAGAGAATGCTGACCTGCAACCAGTCCTGCACGGGCCTCCCGTTTCCAAACTGAAGGCCACTCTGCATTTCATCTCTTGGCCCAGGCTGACCTTTCCTCTTAAAGTAGCCTCACCTGCTATGAGACCTCAGGCCCTCTGCCAGCAGCTCCATCTTCTCTCTCTCCACCAACCCAGGCCCTTCTGGGTCTTAGGGCTTTTCTCTGTTACCTGTGAGGATTGCAGAGTGATAAGTGGAAAATCACCATTCCAGAACATTCCTAAAGGTGTTGCTGACTAGGGGTGGAGCAAGGCTTGCACCTCTGGCCTCTGGCCTCAAGAGGCTCCTTGGCCCTTCCTCCAGCAGCATCACTGAAACTGTCAGTGAGGCTCAAGGGATCAGTGGGATTATTTAGGGCTCTTGGTTGCAGGAAGCCCAGGGAGTATGGGCCTTGGGCCTCTAGAGAGGGTTAGGAGGATTCAGGGGTGGAAAGTGGGGTTATTCCCCACCAGCTTCTCTCCTGACTTAGGCTCCTATAAATGGGCCCAAGAAGGAGGTAGCAGCACAGAGTCTAATCCTCCAAGAAAGAGAGTCTGATGTTGCGCCACCCTCCCAACCCCTCCTATACCCCACTCTGCCCCACCCCCACCCCCCGCGCCCAGGGTAAACCAGCCACTAAGAGTAGAGCCACCAAGTGTGTCAGGGACTCAGAGATGGGCCTCTGGAATATTACCTCCTCCTCCAGGCCCTCATGAGCACTTTTCCTAAAACTTGTCTATCCTGAGAGGGGTCACAAGAAGGACTCTTTTTTCACAGTTGAGCTTGGTGGGGCACACAGAGGGCAAGAGACTTGCACACGACCACACAGCTGGGAAATGGCAGAGCTGGGTTGCAAAGCCCCTACTCTCAGCCATTCTCTAAGCCATCCTGATCTTGGGGCTGATGTTGGCCATCCCCACGCAGGTCCCTGTGACACACACACTTGTGGATTCCAGGCTAGGAGACATCTGAACAAATAGGTAAATGAGACCATTTCTGACAGCAGCATAATGTAAGAAGGAAGCCCTGAGGAGAGAATAGGTGCCCTGGAAGGGCTGGAGACTTCTCTGTGGAGATGGCTTTCAAGGGCCAGAGGGACAAGCTTCACTGGATGGGAGACCACAAGGGCCAAGGCTGCGAGGGTGATGATGGAGGGATCAACTTCACACACAGGATGAGAGAGGCTGGAGTGCTTTGATTCCAGGAAACTAGGTGGCATATCCCCCGTGCAGGAAGGGTGCAAATGATGAGCACAGGGGTAGCTGCTGCCAGATCCACCCAGGAGGGGAGCCACCTGTTGACATCTGCCCCCTGGCCATCCTGGACCTCTGGCCAGCCTGGCCTGTAATGAACTTTATACAAGTGGAATTGTGCCCTAAGAACTGTTCTGTGTCTGTGGAAAAAGAAAACCCAGTTTCCTTCTTATATTGTTCTCCTCCGAGTCTCCAGCACTACGCACACAAACGCTTCCCTTCTGTCTCTCTGATACCAACCTGGTGTCCTACAGTTGAACGTGGTTCTGACCCCCTCTACCTGGAGACAGACCCCACAGGTGAAGGGCTCAGCCTCCTTCAGATGCCAGTGACAAGCAGCAGGTCCTTAGGTCATCCACAACTTCCGAACAACTTGGCTACTAACCAGAGTTCCCCATGAGCCCTCCCCCTTGGATTCGATTAATTCACTAGAGCAGCTCTCAGAAGTCAGGGAAACATTGACTTAGGTTTATCAGTTTATTGTATGAGGATACGATAAAGGGTAGAGGTGAACAGCCAGATAGAAGAGATGGATAGGGTGAGGTATGTAGGAAGGGCATGGAGCTTCCGTCCCCTGTCCAGGGGGCTGTTCTCCACATGTTCACCAACCTGGAAGCTCTCTGAACCCCATACTGTTGGGATTTTATGGAGGCTTCTTTTTTTAAGATTTTATTTATTTATTCATGAGAGACACAGAGAGAGAGAGACAGAGACATAGGCAGAAGGAGAAGCAGGCTCCCTACAGGGAGCCCGATGTGGGATTCGATCCCAGAACTCCAGGATCATGCCCTGGGCCGAAGGCAGGAGCTCAACCCTTGAGCCACCCAGGTGTCCCTGGAGGCTTCTTCACATAGGCATGATGGCTCATTAACTCCATTTCCAGCCCCTCTCCCCTCTCTGGAAGATGGGGGGCTGGTCTTTCTGATGACCATTCCTATCCAAGAGCCCACCTGGAATTGCCTCATTAGAACAAAAGATGGTCCTGGTACTCTTGTCACTTACAAATTTATAAGGTTTCAATAGCTCTGTACTGGGAATGGAGAGCAGAAACCAATATGTATATTTTCTATGATCTCATAGTTGGCCTCCTTTGAGCCTCACCATGCTTTGGAGTGAGGCATGTCAGGAGTTGTGCTGTCAGCTTCACCCCCAAGAGTGGAGCATGTGTGAATGTACACGTCTCTGCATCATGTCTCCCTGGATAGAAATTTGGGTTGTTTCCACTTTGCAGCTATTAAAAATAATGACGCTACAGACAATCCAGAACATTTCTTTTGGAAAACCTGTGTGCGTGGTTTTGGAGAGGTCAGAGGGCTGGGCCAGAGGGTGTGCGTGTTCAGCCTCAGACGACACTCCCCAGCAGTTTTCCTGAATGTCTGTGCACTTGCTCCGACCTCAGGACACACTCGGGCAGTCTGTGTGCTGCACGTCCGCACCGACTGTCTTGGTCACCTTGGCACTCTAGAGGCTCCATGCAAGCCAGATGGCAGTGTTAATTCACATGTCTTTTTCTGTGAAGGTATGTCTTGATGCCACTGCCATTTTATGTGCCTTTTCCTTATTGATCTGTAGGGCTTGAGCATCTGGACATAAACTGTGGGCTGACTCTGTGTTATCAATATCTTCTCCCTCAGTTTTGTCTTGTCACTCTGTTCACAGTGCCTTTTGATAAACAGAAATCTTTTTTAAAATATTTTATTTATTTACTCATGAGAAACAGAGAGAGAGAGAGAGGCAGAGACAAAGGCAGAAGGAGAAGCAGGCTCCATGCAGAGAGCCCGACATGGGACTCAATCCCAGGTCCCCAGGATCATGCCCTGGGCCGAAGGCAGACGCTCAACCACTGAACCACCCAGGTGGCCCTTTTCTGTTCTTTGAAAAACCCTTTGCCTGCCCCAAAGTCATAAAGATTTCATGAAGAGACCCTTGCATATTGGTTTAAAGCTTTGTTGCTTTGCCTTTCACATTGGATCAGCAATCCACTTGGTGTTGATTTTTGTGGATGGTAGGTGATGGGGTCGTATCATACCTTTTTGTTTCCGTGTGGACACCTAGTTGGCCCAGTGCCATGTCAAGGCCCAGGTCGCACACTTGTATGGATCTGTCTACAGAGGCACAGCTCCACAGTCCCACAGCCCCACACGGTATTGGAGCCCTACAAGATGAGGGGGGTTTGGAGGGTTTGGGGCAAGGGCTTTTCAATAATTGCCCAGCTGACCTAGAAGAAGATAATACAGAGCTTGAAGGGAGAGAGGCAGGGAGGCTGGCTCTGAGGCTGTGAGGAGGGAGAAGGTGGACTAGGGTGATGGAGAGAAGGGTCTCACCTGGGAGGACATGTGAGGACTGAGCTCAACCTTGAGCCTCCCCTTTCTTCCTTCCCATCCAATCATGGAGGACTCCCTTCTTGGGGGCAGTTAAGGGATGTCTGGTGTAGACCTGGACCAGGGGTAACAAGTGGATGGACGATGGGCAGTTGGGCACACATGCCATAAAGCGGGGAGCAAGAACAGAGCAGGAAGCCGGGCCTCAGGACACTGAGGTTACAGGGAAGGCAGCCTGCTGTACCCCTTGGGGCCACATGAGGGCACCAGGACTCCATTGGAAGCAGACAGAGCTCAGCCCTTCCCACTCTGGTCTGGGGGGGATGGATACTTAGGGGAGGCCTGGAGTCTCCTCTCCTGAAGCTGTGTGGCCCCCTGTGAGCCCTTGACATTGTGACAGTAAGCACTGAAAAATAAGAGCCAACTGTCAATGAGAAGCTGTTACGTGCCAATCTTCAATGTTTTACACAAATTATGGGGCTTTTAACATTTGTAAAAATAATTTTATTGAGGTACAATTTATATATAATAAACTGCACATATTTGATTGTAAAATTTGCTTTGTTTTGACATTTGTGATGCCCAGGGAGCAATCACCACAATCCAGAGAGTGAATATGCCCATCACCCCTAATGGCTCCTGTACCATTGGCAATGCCTTCTTCCCTACTGCCAAGCTGACCATCAATCTGCAATAGTTAGATGACAGTGTCTAGAACTTTAAGTAAAATCGATTATAAAGTATATACTTTGTACAGTGTGTCTAAGTTCTGTCACTCAGCATAATTTGAAATTCATCCATTATATATAACAATATAACAGTTCTTTTTTTAAAAGACTTTATTTACTTATTTTAGAGAGCATGAGTGGGGAGAGGGGATCTCAAGCAGACTCCAGCCCAGCACAGAGCTGACATAGGGCTGCATCTCACTTAGAGTGTGACCTGAGCCAAAACCAGGAGTCAGATGCTCAACTGACTGAGCTACACAGGCGCCTCTCTTTTTTTATGTATTAACATGGAGTATTTCATTGTTGGATATACCATAACTTATTAATCCATTCACCTGCTGATGAACATTTTGTTTTGTTTTTTTAAGATTTTATTTATTTATTCATAGAGACAGAGAGAGAGGCAGAGACACAGGCAGAGGGAGAAGCAGGCACCATACAGAGAGCCCGAGGTGGGACTCGATCCCGGCCTCCAGGATCACGCCCTGGGCTGTAGGCGGCGCTAAACCGCTGCGCCACCGGGGCTGCCTGCTGATGAAAATTTTGAATGTTCATCATGATGAATATTTTGGAGCTATTATATATAAAGCTTTTGTGAATGTTTGTGTTTAAGTCTGTGTGGACATGTGCTTTCATTTTTCTTGGGTAAACACTTAGGGTGGAGGGGCTAGGTTATATGATAGGTGTGTGTTTAACTTTTAAGAAACTGCCAAACTATTTTTTAGTGTGGGTACGAGTTTTTGTTCCCATTAGAAATGTATGAACGGGGCAGCCCGGGTGGCTCAGCGGTGTAGCACTGCTTTCAGCCTAAGATGTGATCCTGGAGACAAGGATTGAGTCCCATGTTGGGCTCTCTGCATGGAGCCTGTTTCTCCCTG